ATAGGTCCAATATATCTCTGTACCAAATTTTGTCGCAATCGGTCCAGCCGTTTAGGAATCGATTAAGGACAAACAGACAGAAATCCATTTGTATTTATAAGATTATTTCTTTTAACTATTTGACTAATTACTAAATACTTAATAGTTTATGTTTTTACATTTTATATTTATATTTCTTATTGCAATGTTTATTGTTGCTATAGTTTAAACTAATTTTAATATTGTTAGTGTTGGATTAGACCATACGAGAAATAAATAAGTAAGTGTTTGAAAAAAAATCTAGGCACGTCCCTGTATGAGGTATGACTTTATATGATACATATAAATGATCTGAGAATTATTAAATCTTGAAAGAGCCATAGCCATAGGCCTGATTAAAATTTAAATAAATAACTGTGTGAAAAATGAAAATGTCGTTTAAAACTTCTGAATTTTCACAGTGTTGCCAGTTACTAAGCCTGCCGTAGTTCTTTAAAATTCGAATATATTTCTACATGTGACATACTGATATACCATACCAAAAAATGACAAAATCTTGTGATTCGCGAATTCGCGATATCAACAGAAGAAATTTATGAGGCAAATTTCGTATTCAAAAAGTTGATAAACAAAAACACAATAAATTCCAGATTGCTGTTGTTTACAAGTTTTACTGTTTATTGCTAATTTTTTTCTTCTAAAATTCTMGGTTGAATCATAAAATAGTAATTATGACTTCAGCTTTATATTTGGAACACTATTTGGACAGTAAGTTTTCTTTCGCTTTAACATTTCAACGATAAACTAATTGAGTGATATTTTAGGTTTGGAGAACCTTCCTGTTGAGTTACAACGAAACTTCACTCTGATGCGAGACCTCGATTCGAGAGCTCAGGAACTAATGCGCAGCATTGACAAGTTGGCCGACGATTATATGTCAAACGTCAAAGGATATACTGCAGAAAAAAAGAGTGAAACTATGACCAGCATTCAACGTCAGTTTGACAAAGCGAAGGAATATGGTGACGATAAAGTTCAACTGGCCATACAAACTTATGAATTGGTGTGTTGATTTTGAGTTGTTCACAAAATCCTTAAAATACTTTAAATTATTGTACCTTTCAGGTGGATAAACATATTCGAAAATTAGATTCAGATTTAGCGCGATTCGAAGCCGAAATTCAAGATAAAGCCATCAGCGCTACGAGAAATATAGAGGAAGGTTCACAAAAGCGTATGTGTTATTTTAGTATTGTGTTCCACAATATTTTTAAATGCTTGTTGTTTTCAGGAGGACGTAAGAAGACTAAAGACAAAGAAGTTAAAAAGAAAAGTGCGTCAAGTGAAGAAGAAACGGTTACTAAAACATCTAAAAAGAAACAATTGAAAAAAGGTTTGCAGACAACCATATTTTAGTACGGTTTTTGTTGGTTCTATTGTATAATAATTTTTAATAATTTTAGGAGGTGCTAAAACAACTAATGCAGCACCTAGCAAAACACCTTTGGTCAGTGTTGTCACCAATCCAACAAACCCTACAAACAGCGTAGCCAGTGTTGCAGTAGAGACTAGTTCTCTTACTGGTGCATTAGTTGGTGCTGGAGTTACTCACTCTGAAGTATTAGACATGCCTGTTGATCCAAATGAACCAACATACTGCTTATGCAACCAAGTTTCTTATGGTGAAATGATTGGTTGTGACAACCCGGACGTAAGCATTTTAATATTTATTTAATTTTTACTTTTTTGTTATATAAACATTTTATTTAACATGAAATGCAATAAAATGCAATAATGTTCTATTTTTATTGTAAATATTGTTTCAGTGTCCAATTGAATGGTTCCACTTTGCATGTGTTAAATTAACTACCAAGCCTAAAGGAAAATGGTTCTGCCCAAAATGCATTACAGACAGGAAGAAAAAATAACATATTTTAAAAATGAAATATATTTTTTTATTTCATAAATACATACATATTATGTGTTTATGTATGTATATACAAATAATATACAGTGATAAGAACAATTGATTTAACTATTGTAATTTGTAATATTATTGTCTTTGAGAATTGCATACACATTGAGAATAAAATGTTCTATTTTAAACTTGTATTGTTAATTAATGATATTATATAATTTTTTCTTTTCAAAAACTGAAAACAAAACTCTTATTTTAAATTAATAGTTAGGTACAGCAGTCTTTTTTAGTTAGAAAATGTATTTATGGAATTAAAGACAAATTTCTCACACAACATTTAGATGGCATTACTGACCAGTCATACTCATAGGACGCCATATGCTTTAACTCCTTATCACATATTTTTCCAGTCTGAATATAATGTGACCAGTGAAGTCTCATCATTTCAGGATTACGTTTATGTGTTATGAAATAATCATTTTGACATCCACGGCTATACCATTCAGTGTCAAATCGCCGGTCATGTTTTCTTGTTATATTTAATGGACTCAACCAAGCGCCAACAGAAACATCTTCACTAGCAAACATACTGAAAAATAAAAATAAGTAACTGGAATAAAAATTGTTAGTCAAGTTTCTAATAAGACAGCTATGGTTGGTTAGATATAACCTAACAATTTTATTAAACTTAACATTAATATTTTCTTATTATAATTTATACTTAATTGCAACATTGTACTATGATCAACATACCTTAGGTAATCTTGATTCTTTACTATATAGGTAATAAGATCTTTGGACAAAATATAGCCACCTCCCAAGGCATATGGTAAATATCTATCACATAATATCCATTCAGTTTCTTTGAATTTACCCTTTTTTTTAATATGTGCATTACCATCAAAATAGCCCCAATAGAACCTTGTTTTGGGCATTTGTTTCAACTCATTGATAATTAATGGCATGTTGACAAAAGAGTCGTCATCACATTTTAACAAATAGTCAAAGTTAATATCATGTACACTGGAGAATGATGCTACTACTTTACGAGTAAGTAATCTGTACCCCTCTTCTTCATCTACTTCTAACATGTCATTGTATACCAACTTTTCAGCATTTAAAGATTTATCTTTTGATACAACAAAAAGTATTTTAACGTCTTCTTTTGGTTGAGCCCATGTTTCACGTATAGCATCACGACGATTTTGATTTTTTACTGCTGATATTATGAGTACAAGCAAACTAAGTCTAAGTCCATTTGGTGAAGTGTTTGGCTTAAACGTTATTGTGTGCAAAATGAACATTGTCAATGTGCATCCTAATATGAATGAAAAACTCGCCAGGAAATAGTATGTAAGATGTTTTCTGTGTAGTAACATTTGTTACCTACTTAAGTTTAGATGGAAAAAATTTAAAATAAAAAAAAGTGTACATACAATAAAAAATTCGCAGTGGCTATTTTCASGTCTTTTAAGTTAAAACAAAAAATATTTTTCAACAACATCGATCCTACATCATATTGTAATTTGTAATTCAAATTATAAAGTGTTAATGCAAAACAAATAAAGAATGATGAGTATCATAACATTATATTGTTTAAATGATTGTTATTGTTATTAAAATAAAGGAACAAAAATTATTAAATTATTATTAATTGATATGTACGAAGCACGTGTATAAGCAATGTGAAATAAATGAATTTATAAAAATAAAAATTGAGGTAGTTTAATACAACCATAGAGCTGATGTACAATATAAATATAAATTATAATTTATAACTGACTAATTAATTTATGCCACTATTTATTAGATAGTACTATCTTAAATCGTGCTTTTAACAGAATAACTCGACAGATAAATAAAAATCACGAACTGAGATTCACACATCTTCGTGCTCATAACTAAAATTAAAATGGATAATATGCGTATAGCGTATGTTCATGATAATTATTTTATCATGATATTTATTATCCACATTCATGGACCGATATTTTTTCAATAGTCCGCATCTATTATTATAATATTAATAGAGTTCAAAGTGAGCGACTAGCAACAGCAACATGGGTTGGCAGCTCTGGGTGAATTCCTGATGATAAGTTATGGTTATCATCTATAATCTGTGGTATTACCGTGGTCGAATAGGTAAAAGCCCCTCCTGAAAGTCCTGACACGTCTTGACAACATCGTACAAATTGTACACATAGAATACAGATTACGTAATAGGGAGTTTGTATTATTCATTGTCATTAATAAATTGACATCTACGTCTACGTTCTATAATCAGAAATCAGTGAATCACTAATCAGTTAGTGGTTAAGTGCTAGTCGCGAGTGCCGAGTTTATGGGTTTATCAATATTATAATATTAATACTTTGATGTGAAATTTATTATTAATTTAATAAAATATAACTAATTTCTCAGTTCTGAATTATTCGTTCTCGATCAACTGTAACAAGTTAATGTTATTGAAATATGGCCATGTGGACGACGTTTACGAATACAGGTTGAACTATTATTAAAGTATTACCTAATGTATTTTATAGTGTACAATACTGTGCTTGGAAAATGGAATGTTTGCAGCAAACAAAAATCTATATACTATGGTCATTAACTTTCAATGTTATTGATCAATCAACCAGGGCTTAGAACTGAAATTAAAAATACTGGTATTTTAATCGGAATCTTTTGAAAACCTTGAAACCTGGAACCTTGCTAGATCCTTTTTACGATTTTCTTAGAAATTGTTATCAATTTCTGTTGGTAAAGAATTTTTTTGTTCCCAATTATTCTTATGTATGAATAAAATTGGTAATAATTGATTCATTGAATTTTGTGGATGTAAATGTATATCCTTATGGTTATATAATTTTATATTTTTTAATCTAAAAAGACTTCAGTTCCAGAAAATGATAAAATATGAGCAGTTCTTAAGTAATACATTATTAATCATGTCCATTAGTCATTAGCATAATTAATATTTGGTGACAGTTATAAATAAACTAATTATGGAAACTGTCATAAATATGCACTAGGTAGTATAAATTACTATSAGATTTTGACATGGATTAACACTTTTAGGAATAATATATTTTACACTCATTTCTTATAATAATAAAATATATTGTCTTAAAATTATTCTAGGTAATTCATATAATATAGCCGACTGTTTACATAACAGCTTTTCTGTTTGTGTTGTGAGTTGTGATTGTTCATATTAGCAATGCATTTCTTTACTGGAACATTCAGTCTTTACTCTGTTTAAGTTAAGAAACTTAGTCAGTGGTGACTAGTTTTTGTCGGGTCACAGTCAGACCATTTTTCACCCTACCTACTATTATCTATACCTGCGATATAATATTGCTACACCCCTGTGCACAAGTTAACTGCTGACATTTCTTGAACAGAGTATAAACATACATATACTTTACATATGAAAGTAGAACTTAAAAGTTAGTATGTAAAGAGTGCAATGGTAAAGTAAAAGTATATATAATAAGTAATAGGTACTTAACTTACTATAAATTATTATTATTTTTTGTGTTTTAAAAACAAATATAGTAAATTTACCACAGTTTTCTCAACCTTTTAGGACAATATTTGATTTTATAATTTTAGTTAAGTTTGTATTTACTTGAATTTGTTTACTTTATGTTGGTTTAGTTAAGATAATTAATAATATTAATGATTTAAAAAAACTATATTTGCAGGAACTTCAGATCCAAGTCGAGAATCTGGCTTAGGAAGTGATTCTGACAACATGGCTGAACTGGCACAGCTGTTACAAGCTGATATACCGGAGGGTCGTAACAGTTTAACAGACAGTCATGTAAATTTAGAGCGTGTGGCTGAATACTGTGAAGGAAACTATTTTCAAGCTGAGAATAAACGATTGGCTTTAGAAGAAACAAAAAACTATACTACCCAGTCGTTAGCTAGTGTTGCATATCAAATAAATACGCTTGCTTATAACTTTTTGCAATTATTGGACCTTCAAACAGTTCAACTATCTGAAATGGATAGTCAAATTAACCATATTGCTCAAGTAATTTTTTGATATGAATTTACATACTGAATTATTACTTCTTTTTATGTTTACTAATTAAAAATGGTGAACATTTCATAATAACTGTATGACATCTCCACCTTTTTTTGTAATGCTTAAATATTGATCACCTTGCATAAAAATATCTATTAAGTACAGATTTTTTACTGATATAGTGACAATTCCAAGAGATTAGAGAGGGAGGAATGAAAATAATTTGCTTATACTTACATTTTTATATATTTTTTATGTTCTTAACCATTGAAAGGTACAAGAAAGATAATTTTATATACTAAACATATATAAGAAATAATTTGTGTTTATAGTAAATGTTTTGCGTCTTGATGAAAATGATTCCCTGGGCTCATAAATGTTTGCCCAAAAATTGTCTAAATAAGCATGTACTAATGCACTGGCAAAATAGCAAGAAATATCCATTCATAACTTAAAAGTTTTATTTTTAATTATTCTATGTCGCTAGAGTTTCCATACATTTTACCAAAACATTTAAATTTTTGGATTTTTTACTAGTTTTTCATAAATTTTCATTAAAAAAAAATTACACGAATAAAATTATGAATAATAGGTATGCCTATTGTATTCATCAGGGACTCAAAATATGAGACTAGGTTTTTAGTGCTATTTTTCAAGTTTTGGTACTTATTTTTGCCAATTTACTTAATATAGTGTTTTATTTTAATTTTCAAGAATCTAGTTTATATTATGTGGTATAAAAAATAAAAATTAATGTCTATTATTTTTATTACATTTTATTTAAATCCACTGAAATAGTATTAAATGCCCACATTTTTGTTCATATTGAAATCTTTTTTAAAGTAGTCTAGGGAATTGGCCTATCCAACAGTAAACAATTATGGCTCCTGATTGGTTGTATTTATTTATTGGCTCGTATTTATATATTTTAGTTTAGAATAATTTTGTCATATATTTGTATGTATTTTTCTTTTAAATTGTGAATAGAATAAATTTTAAGATTTTTTAGGTCATGTTTTAGCGTATATTTCAGTTATTTTTAGTGTTATAAAATCTAACAGCTGGTAATAACTAATTAGTACTTAAGGTACTTATCAAAAAAGTTGTTTTAATATTTTTTATTTTTCAAGAATGTGATGATTCATAAAGAAAAAGTTGCTAGACGAGAAATTGGTGTATTGACTGCAAATAAAACAACCAACCGTCAATATAAAATCATTGCACCTGCTAATCCAGAAAAGCCCATTAAATATGTTAGAAAACCAATTGATTTTACAGGTACTTCTTACTACTCTTCGTTATTAGATTATTATATATGTAATCCACATAACTAATTTAAATTTAGAAATTATTATATATTTCAAATTGCATGTAATTTGATTACATTTTATTTTACAGCTCTTGATGATATTGGCCATGGTGTTCGCAATACTCCCCGTATGGTCCGTCAACCAATTTCCAATAGTTCCAGTGCTTCAACTAATATGTCATCTGTTGGTCCTGCTCCTACAATCAAACCACCTACTCCTCCAGCAGTTATAAGAGCAACTGGATCATTAAGCAAAGGGTCTCGTGAATATCGTACACCTCCCGCAGTTGCTCCACCACAAGTTCCCAGTCATTATGCTCCTAACTATCCACTTGGCCATGTCAGACGTGAAAAAGGACCTGGTTATAATACTCTTCCTTTACATCACACATCTTCGTCTACTAGCATACAACAATCTCCAATTATTGGCATGGTGCATCCAATGCAGCAGTCAGAACAACCATCATCTTTAAACTCCATGCCTCGTATGTGATTTTAGATTTATGCTATGAATCCAATAATAATTATTAATCCTTAATGTGTTTCAGCTCCACCATCACCTCATACATTAAATACAAGAATGGGAGTTGGACCAGATTTGTTGGACCATCATCTCCATCAAGCTCCCTTTTCATCAAACACTGACCATTATCGTTCAAATACTTCTCAACAATCATCTACAGACCATTATCGTTCAAACATAGCTCAACAATCTTCTACAGATCATTATCGCTCTAATACATCGCAACTATCATCTAATGATCATTATCGGTCAAATTTATCTCAACAATCATCCACCGATCATTATCGTTCAAACATTCCTCAACAGTCATCTACTGATCATTATCGTTCTAACATTTCCCAGTTAACTACTACTGACCACTATCGTGCAAATACTTCACAGTTACCTGGTATCTTAAAAAACTCATCACAATATCATTCTTCATCTGTAGTAGTCACTTCCCCTCAACAGCAACATGTTAGGCAAGCATCAGCCTCTCCGCCATTACCACCACCTCCAGAAGATCATTTTGGTCATATTGCTGCTGGCCCAATTGTACCCCAAGAACCTGATCTTCCTGGATGGGTTCCTAAGAATTATTTGGAGAAAGGTAAGTTTAACATTTCTTAGAATTATAAAATATATAAATATAAAATTATAATAAACAATTTATATTTTAGTAATTGCAATTTATGATTATTATGCTGATAAAGACGACGAATTAAGTTTTCAAGAAAATTCAGTTATTTATGTCTTAAAGAAAAATGATGATGGTTGGTGGGAAGGTGTGATGGACGGAATTACAGGCTTATTTCCAGGAAATTATGTTGAAGGCTGTAAATAAAGCATATATTTACATTTTACTTTTATACACTATTAATAGCTTTTAATATGAAATTAACATTGTTATTACAACAATAGGTATATATTAATATTATGATAATGTTTTATTAAAGAGCCATAAACAAAATAGGTTGAAGTTGAAATATTTAAAATTAAAACTGAATTTGAATTATTAACATATTTACTATTTAATGAAGATAAGATAATAGTTTTGAAACTTGAGTATATTATTATATTTCAATAAGTGTTTTTTTTATAATAATGCATAATGACTAATTAATATATTTAATGTATAATCTATAAATTAAACTAATTAATAATTAATGAGGGATAATTTAGTCGTAGGTATTAAATCATTATAAATCTGTAAAATAGACCTGTTGAATATTCTTTTATTTATTTTAATTGCACATTAGTACCTATTGAATCTTTGTAATGTGTAAATTTAAAAATATACTTCAAATTATATAGTTAAATAAGTTAAATATATTTATTGCACTTTGTACACAGTATATTTATTTACTTTATTTGTATAACTATTGAATTACATTTTTATAAATATTATATAAGATTTATTTGAAATTTAATTGACTACTGCAATAATTGTTATTGAAAATATAAATATTAGTTATTACGCGATAATTTATTAATATTTAAAATTTTACCTTATTAGTTGATTATTTATCTATTTTATTTTGACATAATATATCAAAGTCAAACGTAAAGTATATGGGATTTTTAATAAGTTTATCATACTTATTTTAAAATATTTTTTAAATACCATACCTTAAAATATACTTATAAAATTACTTTGCTTTAATGAAAATTATTATTTAACCTTTCAAAATTCGGTCACATTGAATCCAGTCAAAAATTTGCAAATTATTTTTCAGTTAGAGATAAATACAAAAGTTGTGTAACAAACCTATGAAATGAGAATAGGAGATTCCCAACAAGTTTTTATATATATTTTTTTTAAAAGGTTTAACAGACAGTATTATTTATTATTTATGAGCGTTTAGTTTTAAAGTTTCACGATATTTGATATTCAGTGGTTTAATCATTAAATTTGATAATTTTTACATAATATTAGGACAACCAGTTTCCAAGTATAACCATTTTTTGTATGCAATGATTTATCATTGAATTCAATCTAAAGTATTACCCGTTACAATGGAATACTCTACTATTACTGTACAGTATTAGATTTTCTACTTGTCGACCTTTTTTAATACTGAAAATAAAAATTTTTAAATCTGATTAAATTTTTTTGAAAAAATTAAAGTAGATCATTTCTAAATTTCATTTAAGAAAAAATTGAGTGTTAAAATATTTAATTAGTTTTACAAATTTTTGAAATATCATTAGTTCATTACTTTAAGTTTATTGAAGATTAATCTAGTCATAAATACATTTTAAATATTTTATGAGTATCTTTAAATAGGTACTTGTTAAACTTTACATCTATTTTTTTAAGTTATTACGTTTTAAATCAATGAGTTTTTTAAAAAGATATTAACACTTAAAATAAAAGTAAATCACTTAATTTGGGTGAACGGTTTTACAGTCAAAAGTTCTCTAGAATTCAGATTAGCAATATTTATATATTGAATATTTTAAAAAGGAATTTTAAAAAAGGCTGGTAAGTCGTGGATGTCGCTCTGCTGTACAGTAAGTTACAAATGGGTTACTGTAATGGATGGAATTAAATTTGAACCCAATGATATATCATTGTATACGAAACACGATTCTGATCGAAGACGGTTTATCTGTCTAGATTATTAAAAAATTTCAAATCTTAAATTTAAAAAGAAAATTTTTTAATAATTTCTAGTTTAAAATAATTTGTGAATTTT